TCACCAAAACTATCGAACAGTCTGTGCTCGCCTAAAATCACCGACTTCTGATAAACAACTGCTAACGGCTGTGGACTGAACTAAATTATCGCTGCTCTAAATACGGGGTTTTAAGACTGAGTTTTATTCTAGTTACCCCGAATAAGGAGGTTGTGCGATGAGGTCCACTCTAGTTACTCTGAAAACACAAATGGGCAACCGCCGGATCCGGCCCGCGACTGGTTTTAATCTGATCCGCAGAGGCAATTGGAATGTAATGCCTAACTAAACGAAGGGGGTTTGTACTCCGTCACCCCACTGCATTCTCATTCTCATGAAAAAAATACCGGCACGTACCAGGGCAGCCCTTTTCCCTCGCATGCAAGAAATGACCAAAACACAGGCAAATGAGTTGCACGTGTTAAACTGTAAAGTAACAACCATTCATAATGCTAACAATCTGACTGCATCAAGTTTAGCGCAAAAACGCATGGTCGCACGAGTAAGACTGATGCTTTGCTATCTGGGTTTCATTAAAAGCTGGCCCGTGAGCTTAAGTATATAAATCATGCCCGAGTGTCGCCAAAGGTTGCCTATGCCTGCCCTAAGCAAATAGTTGGGAAATGAGGTTTACCCAGCTTTTTTTCATAAATTAAATGCACCTCAAAAGGGGCGCAAAGCAACGTACCACGTGTGGAAACTGCATAGAGAGTTACAATAGTGGAAATTGAGCGATCGTGAATCCAGCGCCGAAGTGCCTCCGTAATGTTCACAACAAAATGTCCACTGCTTGATATACGAGATTCGACCGTTGTTAAACGATCTCGGGCCCTTAATAAATGACAAGAACATGCTAAATTTAATCCAGAAATAAACAGTGCAAGGTGTGCTGGTTCATTAACCGTACAGCAAGAAGGCTGTAAAAGTTTGGTTCGTCTGCACCAGGCATTTACAAAATAAATCGCAGCGCGCACCAAAATAGCCGGTTCGACCATGCGTTTTGTGCAATTCCGTCCACCGAACGAGATGCCTATTAACGATTTTCATTGCTTTGCACTTTGGTCTGTGCAAAAACAGTTAAAATATTGAAAAACTCTTAAAAATTTCACGCACCGGCAAGTGGAACCTGAATTTGAAACTTCGAAGGGTGAATATCCTTCCTAAATTTCAACCTCTTAATTTTCTGGCTTTCGAATGGTCTTTGAGATAAAACTTTCACGTGGTCGTACGTGAGACATCGGCATACTTAGGAGTTGAATTCGAGTATGAAGCCCTAAAATTTCAGATTCCTAACTTTCTTGGTTCTCAAGATAATAATTTTCTTCACCAAAACTTTCACGGAGCCGTAAGAGATACCTGGGCGCGCGGGAAGGTTAAATTTAAATTTACTGTGCTGTACGTGGGCAGGGCACACTACCCCAAAATTTCAGCTTCTTGATTCTTATGGTTTCCGAGGTAATGATTTGCCTGCCAAAAATTCCACGAGACCAAAGCACGGGAACGCTGAATTTGAATTTGTAAGGTCGTATATGGGCAGGGGAGCCATAACCCTAAAATTTCAGCTTTCTAGATCCGTGGTTCCCGAGATAATAATATAACTACCAAAATTTTCACGGGGCCGTTCATGTTACCCGTGGGGTAGGGGAAGGCTGAATTTAAAACTTCTGGGTCGTACGTGGGCAGGGGACATGCCCACAAAATTTCAGCCTTCTAGCTTCCGTGACAGTTTTACCCGCCCAAACTTTTACGAGGTCGTACGTGTTAGTCGTGGATATGGGGAGGCTGAATTTAAATTTGCGG